CAGCACCATCTTTGCCTGTTTTATTTTTATTTTTTTCTTCTTCCAATGAAACCCTTCCAAGTGTATATTCGGTTGATTTTATGTTGATTTTTTCTGTGCTGATAGTGCTGTTCAAAACTCAATTAATGGGATGATCATTATTGAAGACATTGGTGGGACATTTGATAATACAACTTTAAAAACTAACTGCAGAAAAGTCTTCAATTAGTAATGATGTTAACAATCATGTCATCTTCCACTTCTACACCTAATATAATTAAGTAATGGAAATTATTATGAGTTATATATTTGATTTATGTAGTTGTTTTCTTTTGTCCTACGCTAACAAGAGGCCAGTAGCAAAAGGATTAGCGCGTTGAAGATAAAATTTGAATAATTTTCCCGTTCTAATAATAGACGTGATATTAAAGAAAACTAGGTTTAGACTTCGTGACTTTTGTCACTGTTTATTTATGAAAATCGTACACATATTGCACAATAAGCACAATAACAAATGGAAGGTGGAGGTCGAGAGGGGGGTGGGGTATAGGAAGAAAGCCATAGTTTTCTTTTTTCTTCATTTCGATCTGCATTTTGTGTTCAGTCATTTTATTAAAACAATGCTCCATATGCTTTGAATCCACCGTTTTAAAGGTCATATTATATAGAAACCATCAAATAAATTATTGATGCGACAAAAAATAAAAGGTTGGCGATGAAATTGTCGAGTATGAATTTGAAGACTAAGTTATAACGTACTGCATAGATTGGAAACTAGTCGTGCAATTGTCCATTTAAACTAATACGTAGTTATGTTAATAAAAGATATATATCCGTTGCTAACTTTATTTACGGCCCGTTTGGCATAATCAAAAAGAGCTTTTGAGATTCAAAAGTTAATTTTGGATTCATTTGATTAATTTTATGAAAATGCGTTTGATAGTTGAAAGGGATTTTAGAGGAAGTCGGTTTAATGTTGCTTCTTCTAAAAGTATTTATAGAATAAGAAACTCTTTTAAAAATTAGTTTTCAAATAAAATTTAAGGTAGTTTCTTCTAAAAACTCTTTTATAGGAAGCAAAAGCACAAAAAAAAAAAAAAAAAAAAATATGTCAAAACTCATATTGATGATATACTACTATTTATTTTACTTATAAGTAACATTAATTAAGTTTAATCTAAATGAGATGTACAAGATATATTATTTGCCAAAAAGAAAGGCAACCACTACGTTGAGCACAAAACTGTGTATGTTAAAAAATATAGAGACGTATTTAGTACAAAGTGTTAATAATAGTAAACAAAACAATGGATAATGTTTTTTTATTTCTTACTTATAATTGTCCAATCTTACATGTGGGGACGTCGAATAAAATGACCAGTACAAATGGACAGTCAAGTTTTATTGAAAAAGTTGACAACACCTAGTTAGGTAAATGTTCAAGTATATCTGATACGAAATCAATATTTGTTGATCATCATCTGCTTTTTGCGATCAATCATATCAAACAGAATAATTCTATTCAATTTTACTGTTGTTTAACATCAGTTTATGTGGTGGTGAGGTCACTGTAATGTTGTCCAATATAATGGGAAAATTGCAGTCGCGGTCCCAAACCTTTCATTTTGTTGCAGATTACACCCAAACCTTTAATTTTTGCGGCCGAAGTCCCAAACATTTTATGTAATTGCAGTGTCGATCCCAAACCTTTAATTTTTGCGGTAAAAGTCCTAAATCTTTGTATGTAATTGCAGCGTCGGTCCCAAATCTTGAATT